TACCAAAGCAAATTTCATTCATTTCTTTATAAAACTTTACTTTAAACATTATTTGTTTCGGTAAGTATATTGAAGGGGAAAAAACAAGAATATTATAGTTTTTACCAGGAGCAGGAGTATTTCTCTTGCTACACCATTGAAAAGATAGACCTTTTCAACTGTTGGCAAAAACAAATGGTGGCAGATACTTTTGCAGATGGTTTTCGGTAATTGTTCAATCAAATGATTCTGGTTCACGCTCTCAGCTTTATATCTTAAACACACATAACCCAAACTATGATCTTTTGAACTTGGAGGTAAGTGGTTTCTGCATACAAAATTTTATACTGCTTCAGTGCTATTAACCAACTTTCACCGATCCTTTTAATTCGCTTTTTGATGCTGCTTTCTCCTTCCCATCCTCATTTTTAATCTTTAACCAATTCACCGGATCCTTTTAATTCGCTTTTTGAATGCTGCTTTCTCCTTCCCATCCATCATTTTTAATCTTCATAACATAATGAAAAAATAAAAAATAAATAACTAATATTTTTCTACGTGTGTTGCCGGCAACCAATATTCAAACTCATTTGGTTTAATGTCCAACAATTTATTATTAACAAAACAAAGTCTGACCGGTAGAAGCACTTCTGTTTTAGTACAGAATATTATATTCTGTACTATAGTTTTGCCCGTTAACCATACTAAAATGCCTAAAGTTTGAATTTTCAGAACCATTCTACTCAAGGCAACCCCTCATGATTTGATATGACGCAAACTAAATGAACCCATCGATAAAAAAGGTGAAAAATTGCAAAATGGATAACCATAAGGAGCAAAGATTACTAAATTTCTACTGCACCTCGAGATGTTATATATGCCATTTAACTACGGCCAAAAAGAAAGAAAAAAAAAAAAAAAAAAAAAAAATGGTGGTAGATACTTTTGCATATGGTTTTTGGTAATTGTTCAATCAAATGTTTCTGGTTCATGATCTCAACTTTAAATCTGAAACACACATAAGCCAAACTATGAACTTTTAAATTTGGGGGTAAGTGGTTTCTGCATACAAAATTTTATACTGCTTCAGTGCTATTAACCAACTTTCACCGATCCTTTTAATTCGCTTTTTGATGCTGCTTTCTCCTTCCCATCCTCATTTTTAATCTCATAACATATGAAAAAATAAAAAATAAATAACTAATATTTTCTAACGTGTGTTGCCGGCAACCAATTTCAAACTCATTTGTTAATCCAACAATTATTATTAACAAAACAAAGTCTGACGGTAGAAAGCAACTTCTGTATTAGTACAGAATATTAATATTCTGTACTATAGTTTTGCCCGTTAACAAATAACTAAAATGCCTAAAAGTTGATTTTCAGAACCATTCTACTCAAGGCACCCTCAATGTTCTTGATATGACCAAACTAATGAACCATCGATAAAAAGTGAAAATTGCAAAATGGATAACCAAATAAGGAGCAAAGATTCTAAATTTCACTGCACACATCCATTTTACGGCCAAAAAAGAAAAGCCAAGAAAATAAAACATAAAAAGAGCAAAAGACCTACGCAAGAAGCGAAGATTGCACAGGAACGCCAATAAGCTTTTTCCAATCAATGATAGCTTAACAGTGAGAAAGCCAGTAGGAAAGTGCTTGATTGCGTCCTTTAAGAGATAAGTAGCCTGAAGATCAGTCTCTTTATCAATTATGTGGTCGAGGCTATTACGATTCTTCACCCATTTAAGCCTAACCTTGACAATATATCGACACTGAAGAGGAAAATGGTAAAGATGATTACTGTTGTTGTCAAATTCCAATGGATGTTTTGCTTGCAACAAGTTTTGTAAATTAATTAAGGATCTGCAGGCTTCGGAGATAATTTTCTGTTTTAGTTTGCCAATTGGTTAACCTTTGATTTTTCCTGATTTCCCTAAATGGGGCGATGTAATTGTGTTCAGTTAGCGAGGGCAATGTAAATGGAGCTAGGGTTGTTTGTTTATGAGGGTTAAATTTGTATTTACCTTTTACAAAAGGCATGTGCAATGCATGCCTCTTGTTGATTTTAGACCATTTGGAATAATATACTATTTACACATTATCAGCTTAAGTGGCAATGGGTGGGTCCCATTTTTAGCCAAAAATGGCTTCTGTCCGGTTATGTCTACAAAAAGCACGTAATTGATAAATTTTTTGAACCGCATAGATTGAAAAAATTTTTCATTTAGACATTAAAATAATAAAAATTGAAAAATACAAATATTGTTAGTGTAATTATTATTATTATTATTATTATTATAGAATAATACTAGCGAGTAATTAAAAAGGTTATAATTATATTTCAATACTTTGAAATATCTCGACATTGATTAATTGCATATACTAATTAAGAATCTTAGAATTGTGCCTGGTTTTAAGATTGTCATCATTTCAATGGATATAGAAATTCTTCTAACAATTAATGGAAAGTATGTAAAATCAATTAACGTATTTAATACTTATTCTAATTTAATTATAATACTACAAGTTAAATCGCTAGAAAATCAAAGAAACAAAAGTTTTTGTGATTCAAGCCAAATCCAACTCTAATTGGATCAAACCAGACTATAAATATTTTAAGAGAAAAAAGAAATCTCATTTTCTTCTTTCTTTCCTCTTTTGTTTATGTCAAGCGAAAGAGACTTATTGTTTCTACTTCTCCAATCGAACTCCGGCGACTATATAATGAGAACAGGATTGTAAAATATTTATGTAGCTACTACAAGTCTATTTTCAATCATTGTTTGGTTGATTAAGTTACTGTTTTTTCGCAGACTAAGAAATTCAATTTTTAAATTTTCCAGTTGAGTGTTGCAGTTTTGACTATAATCTTATTGAGGTAACCTTGAATTTATAATTCTCTATAAAATAAATTTGATTTTGTTTTTTACCTAAGAATTTTGCGAAGGATTATATGAACTGAAATTTGGGTTTGGATTTGGGACTTTCGATGGAATCAACAAAATTCATAAAAGACAAGTTTCTGGGTTAGTTTAATGTTTCGGCCATCATGCACGTGGCCGGTGTCAGTCTGGCAGCCATGACAGCAACAATCCACCTTGATTCCAAAATGTAATTTGACCAAGAAAGAATCTTTCTCACTTCTCTGCAGTAAAAAATAATTAAATATATTAAGGGTATTATGGATAATTCATCTTTATTGTGCACAAATCATGTGCGATTTAGCAAAGCTCGTTTAGTTATTGTTAGTGCTAATAAAAACAAATGTGGCAGGGGCAGATTCACCTAGTTAGGTTGGCTCTGAGTTGCTGAGTCAAGAATATTGATTTGAAGGAGCAAAGACAAAAAAAATAGAAGAAAAATTTTTATTTAGAGATAAAATTTATCAATAAATTAATATTATTCAAAATGCTCTCTTTCCATATAAAATTTATCAAATAATTAAATATTATTCAAAAATGCTCTTCTTTCCATATATAATATATATATATATATATATATATATATAGTTCATAAGTTTTTTTTAATTAAACACTATTTTTAATCAAATAAATGAATATCAATTATTAATATATTAAAAATTAATTATTTTTTAAATTACTGTACAAAAAACCTTTCTAAAACTTACGAAAGGAGTGAAATACTTAAAAAAAAAAAAAAAAAAAAAACCTATAACACAGTGAGAATTTGAGTTAAGCATTATGAATTAAGGTTCCAATGTTTTTTTTTTGAAAAAAAAAAAAAAAAAAAAAAAAAACCTATAACACAGTGAGATTTGAGTTAAGCATTATGAATTAGGTCAATGTTTTTTGAAAATGATGAATGAAAGTTTTTGTGAGTAGGGGGTAAACATTTGGTCGGTTTGGCCATTTGGACCAAATTAAATTATTCTTTGTATTACTGTATTGAACTGACTTTCATATTTAAACAAACCTAGTTGATCAAACTAATTGTTGTATTAACTGTGCCAAAATAAAATGAAATGTAAACTAAATTAACCGATCCACTTTGCCCCATCAATTGATTTTAAACAAATTAATTCTAATATATATTTTTTTAATTATAAATACTAAAACGATGCATTTTTTTCTTCAGTTAGTTTGATTGATACACTTAATTGAATTATAATTAATCACTAATCAAATAAAAAAACTGATGATATTGAATCAAATTGATGATTTAACAGAAAATTTGGCCTAATTGAGACTTGTTTTGAAAATTTTGGGTGCAATTTGTCTTTATCAACTTTGATAGTTTGATGGACACCAAGGTATAGTTTAATATTACGTGGATATATTACCTGACAATTTATCTCTATCAAATTCTCAATACTAAAAAGAAAAAAAAGAAAAGAAAACTTTGACACTTTGATGAGTTGAATTCCTTATTAAATTTGAATTAGTTCAATCAATCTAAATTCTTATGTTAGTCGATTAAATCATCAACTTATCTAAACTCTTATGCTTTAAGTGACTTAAAGCATCATTTCTATTGAAGGAGTTGAATTGTCTAGAAGGAATCTATGACTTTATTCATTAATCAAATCAATAAAAATAAAAAGTTTTGTTAAAATGAGAACTGTATTAAATTTAGCTTAACCCGACGGATCAACCTGAAGAATCGGAGAACCAACCTCAAAACCGAATTGATTTTGCTTTTGAATCATTTAAGAAAGAAAACCAAATTGAATTGACTGATCTATGGTTAAACAACCCAATTAGCTAGGACTGATTCTTGATATTTTAATTATTTTTTTTATATTATAATCATTTTAAATTATATTATTCAATTAATATATATCATTAATATTTTTATGATCCATTAATTTCAAAATTTGTTCCCGGATTTAAACCAATTATCCATCCAGTTCCCTAATCGGGCCTGTGTTTAATAACATCAGAAATAAAAGTATTTCTCATTTATATGCTGAGAAAAAAATATAAAATATTTTTAAAAAAATTTATATTTTCGTTGATTTGTTGCAGAGATAGGCTATGAACCCATTTACGGAAGTAGCATCCCCTATTACAGTATGACTTATTTGTTGAAAGAGCCTCATTTTTAGTTCTCTCGTATTCTTAGTTTCTTAGTAAAGAAAAAAGAAAAGAAAAGGAAAAAGAAAAAGAAGCCGATAGGGACCCATGCAACAGTTTTTGCTGTTGATTGGGAAAGACTTAGATTTGACTGCACATAGACCGTTTTTGCTGCAATTCTGCCATAATCTTTCTATCTCTTCCAAAGCAGCTGTTTCTTCTTCCTTCATCTAATCTCAATAACCTTACCTTGCTGCGTTCATCACTTTTGCTTCAATGTCAATCCCAAGAAGGCCAAAGGAAGCTGTTCTGGGGTTACAGAAACGAATGCATCAGGCAAAGGATCTCATTATCGGACCAATAAATGAAAGCAAGAAAAAAGATCCACTCTTTTTAAGCTTCGAAAACATTGACAGACAGCTTAGAATCTTGAAATTCCAGTTCTCCGATGTCAAGTTCTGGCAAGATAGAGTCTCCGCCAAATTCAATGAATTAGAACATCAAATATATAAAATTCTCTCAAACGCTAAGAATTTGTCCGACCACGGAGATCCACTCTCCGGCGACCAAAAAAGTAACGTCGATAACGAACTAGACGTTATTGCTGAAAAAATTGAAGTCCTAAGGAAAGCATTGCAGCAGCTGGCGGTCGGAGAAACCAGTCGGGAGAGATCATCTCTAAAGGAGGACACCGGCGATGGCGAAGACATTGTTAAAGCTTCAGTTGCAGGTAGAAAAACGTCAAAAGAATGGTTACAACTAACTGTGGAAGAGGATATTTTGACAAGCGAAACCATGAAAAGTCTTAAAGTTACTTATGATAATCTCGATAGACTTGATTTGAAGCTCTGCGCTCTCTGTTTCTCAATTTTCCCGGAAAATGCCACAATTAAGAAACGACCATTGATAAACTGGTGGATAAGCGAGGGATTCGTTGCGAGTGAAGAGGTAGGCGAAGATGTTTTTAAAAAATTAATAGAGTTTGGTTTAATTATACCATATCCTAATGATCTTAACAAACCAATGACACTTGTGAATGAATGCACAGTTGATCCATGGATAAAATACATGTTGATCTCGTTAGCCAAACCAGCAGGTCTATTTGATTTTGACTCGAGAGGAATACCGTCTGATCTTATCTCAAAATCAAAACGGGCCTGTTTGGTTTCTGGGAATCAAAATTTTTCTGACCATAATAGTGGTCATGAGGATAAATTGTTAGGTTTGTTCAATGTAAGTGAGAAATATATTGATTTTAAGCCAGACTTGCTTCCAAAATTGAAGAAAGTTGAGATTCTTCAATTGGGGGGATGGCAGGCATCGCCTAAATCTCGCATTGAAGGGGTAAAGCATCATATTGAAGTGGTAAATGAGGAATTTTTGATGGGTTTAGGTCTTCAAAACCATTTGAAGTATATTAGTTTGCGAGGAATTTCAAGAATTACCAGCCTGCCTTCTTCCATTTCTGATCTTTTTAATCTTGAAATTCTTGATCTTAAAGCTTGTCATAATTTAGAGACATTGCCTTTTGATATATCGAAACTAAGAAAACTCACTCATCTTGATGTATCTGATTGCCCTCTGTTAGAAAGAATGCCTCAAGGGCTCGATAAGCTTACTAATCTTCAAGTGCTTAAGGGTTTTATGATTGGGGATTTAGGAAAAACTCCTTGCAGAGTAGCTCATCTAACTAAAATGGTGAAACTTAGGCGTCTTAGTGTGTACATTGGAGCTGAGGCTGTGGTGGATAAAGGGGAGTTCAGTAAGTTGGAGAATATTACAAATCTTCGCTGCTTGACAATATCATGGGGAGTGAGAGATCCAAAACGAGTAGCTCAAATGACTGACTTGTCGTTTCCGGCGAATTTGGAGAAACTTGATCTTAGAGGCATTCCATGCTTGGTTGATGTGGATCCAAGAAGGCCGCTTGTTCAATTGAATTCTAGTAAATTGAAAAATTTGAAGAGGCTTTACATACGAGGGGGAGAACTTCGTAGCTTGAATTGTGAAATGGATTTTCTTTGGACAGTTGAAATTTTGCAGCTCAAGTATCTCAAGTATTTCGAGATAGAAACGATAAAGCTGGCAGATTTCCCTCATCTGATTTATTTGGAGGTCAAATGTGATGGAGAAGTTGAATCAAATGAAAACGGCAGGAATTTTGTTTGGACAGGAAAGAAGCTCGAAGAAGAAAAGGTTCAGCACAAGAAGAAAGGTGAATCCAAGAAGGATGATAAACACGAGGAGGATTCTGGGTTAACAGAGAATGACAAGTATTTAGACAAGGCCAGAGGAAAATCCAAGGTAGAAGACAATTATGAGGAGGATATGTTACCAAAGTTTGATATTGAAGAAGAGAAAGATGAGGGCAAGGAGGGACCTGGGAACAACATCAACCCCATGATCAAACAAGCCAGGTCTGGTATGATCATTCTCCTCCTTATTTCTGTTCATATTATATTAGGACACATCTAATTGCTCTGTAATGTGAGATACTAAATGTTCTTATGTGATTTTTTTTTCAGAAGTATAAAAGAAGAAAGATGAACTCAAGAAGGAAGATAATGAAAAAAACAATATGTTGACAAAGACAAATTGAAATTGAAGAAGAAAAAGATACTGGGATATAATAACAAAGAAACATGAGGGTAAGAAGGGAACAACATGAACACAATCATTTTGCTATTCATATTGCATTAGGCCACTGCTAATGTCTGTGTACAATAGTGGTCTGAGGAACTAAATGATGTATGAATTTTTCTTACCCTGTTTAGTGAAGGATGCTATTTTGCTTATGTAGATTCTAACAGTCTCCTTTCTCTTTAAATATTTAACTCTTTGCCATTAAAAAAAAAATAAAATAAAAAAAAAAAAAAAAAAAAATCGCGCGGTTAGTATGAGTGTGAGGCACTCATCCATAATTCGGAGTGACATATCGATGGTGGTCGTGTTCTATTATTGGTGACGATTGCTAGCGTAGATATGAAAAATTTCGAGAGAGGATAAGACTGGACAGAAGGCAGAAGCGGCACGCATTACAGTAACGAGGGGGAGAGACGTTCGATGGAGGCGGTGTGAGGGTGAGAGTGTACTGTAGCTGTGTGGACAGTTGTGTAGTTCACATTGGATAATTGACTCGGACAAGTGTTGTCATGATTTCTGCACTACGTGAGTCGTATACCATAGTAATGATATATTACTAGCCGGGAGGAGGACTGGATCGAGAGAGTGTCAACATCCAGTCATAGGGAGAAGGGAGTACTGATAATATCATATATTGGAAGCGGAACAGAGGTTACAGAGATAAGAGTGCTACCGTGTTGGAGAGGAAGGATAGCCTAGATACGTGGAAGAACGGGCGAGAATAATTGTGTTTCGGACACTAGAGAAGCAGACACGGACCTCGCGCAGCGACCCAGAACGAATAAGTGGTTCAGCCACAACGATAAGAAGGTGAATCCCAAGAAGGATGATAAACGACGCGGATGGATTCTGGTTAACAGAGAATGACAAAGTATTTTAGACAAGGCCAGAGGAAAATCCAAGGTAGAAAGACAATTATGAGGAAGGATAAATGTTACCAAAGTTTGAAATATTGAAGAAGAGAAGATGAGGGCAAAGGAGGGACTTGGGAAACAACATAACACCATGATCAAAACAAGCCAGGTCTGTATGATAATTCTCCTCCTTATTTCTGTTTCATATTATTATTAGGACACATCTAATGCTTCTGTAAATGTGAGATACTAAAATGTTCTTAATGTGATTTTTCTTGTCAGAATGTTATAAAAGAAGAAAGATGAACTCAGAGCGAGATATGTGACAGTGGGAGAGAGAAACAAAAAGGTGAGTATTTATTTGCGCAAGTAAGTATTGGATGGGAATGATGAGAGAAAGATATTATATATGCAGAGATAAGGTAGTCGATATGCATAGGATGTCGTGAAGTGAGACTGCTCATTATGCCCCATCAGTGATAGTACTTTATAGTCTTTATTTATTGGGAGACACGTCGAACACAACGAGCTGCTCCACTCGTAAGCGATATGCTGTTATAATGAGGGAGATGACGATGATTGCTGCAAGTAGCAGCTGACGGATGGTCAGGATGCATACTAGTTATTACTGTAGTTGTAAGATTTCGCGATGATGGCGATTGAGGTGAGTGTAGCGCACTCACTATATGGATACCGATATGGCTGAGATCTTGCGTCTTATCATGTACGAGCTGTTGTATGAAAGAAATCTATGTTAAAGTATGCGCATATCAGTGAACATCGCCGCTGGTTTAGTGGAAGGATGCTATTTTGCTATGTAGATTCTAACAGTTCCTCCTTTCTCTTTAAATATTTAACGTCTTTGCCATTAAAAAAAATTTTTTAAAAAAAATAAAAAAAAAAAAAAAAAAAAAAAAAAAAACTCCCCTAAAAAAAAAAAAAAAAAAAAAAAAAAAAAAAAAAAACTCTTCGATGTTTAAATTGGACTAAATTGGCTACAAATAAAAAATTGGAGTCTTAAAAGTTAATTTTAGATATGGTTAGATAACTGGAAAAAATAAAAGGGACAAATTCTAAGTAATATAGACTATTGAAGAAAGATTATTGTTATTCAACTATAAAAATATCATAAAAGAAAATAAAAATCGTATTCTACATATTTCATTCCACTCTAATTTCCACATTGAAACAAATAGCCTGAAGGATCAGATCAAGTTCTGCAGAGTGGACTGACAAGTCCCTCTAAATAATGCAGAAAATGCACACTTACTCACCATAAGGGACAATTTCCTAAATTGATCAACAATTTATATAGAATTAGAAATCAAAAGGACCAAAACGACGAGAACTCATCCATTAGAAGGGCATGGAATTTGCAACACCTACACTATAGTGCTCAGCTAAGATGAGAAATATCAACAGAATCTGGAATTCTGAATGTGGGAGCTGCACCGAATTTCCTTTGCACTTCGACTGCTGAAAAGTCTTCTTCACTACTGTCATCTTCATCCCAAAAATCGATTGGAAATGCGGGATCAAAAACACTTCTAGACACGCAGTCATGAGTGGCAAGGACGTTGATCTGGCCATGGTGAGAGATCTCTATAACTATTGTATCATCATCTACCGGTAGGGGTTGCTTCCAGGATTCTCCATCCATCTTTATGAATGTATGATCCCAAGCACTCTTGTGAAACTCAAACCGGATTCGATGTGCCTAGCATGAAATGAAAGTAGGAAATTACAAAAAAATAATGTATATTCACAATTCTTGTTTCTTCTTTTCTTCTTCACAATTCTTGTTATGGTGCTATGTTACATTCATATTTAGTTGCCAACATCGACCGATAAATAATTTGATTCACTTGCAACCACAAAAGCAAGGATTAGTAACCAAGGCCCTGGACTCTCCCACAAGCTACACCATTGAAAATTGAGGCAGAACCCAAAGTTCCAAAACAAAAATAAATTAGCTTCTAACACTAAATAAATTATTATGCAAGAAAAAATAATCATGTTATAGGCCTACATAAGTATACATATAGATATAAAATACGAAACTAACTACCATAATCAAAAAATTAACAACTTGTGAAACCAAAGTTCTAGTACTTGCATCAGATTTAACCTGAACTTTCAATGATATCCTCAATTATATTTTTGTTTCAATTATAGCTGACAAGCTGAGACATTCTCATTCTCAACTTCAATTTATTTCTTTTTAATAGACTAATTCATAATCCAAATACCAAACACCAAAATCATATGAATCCTTAATTTTTTATGAGACTCATTCTTAATTAATTGTTACAAACAAAGCATGGCTGCTCTTATGTTCTTTTCTTTACAAAATACTGGACAGCAAAAAAAAAAAAAAAAAAAAAAAAAAAAAAAAAAAAAAAAAAAAAAAAAAAAAAAAGAAAAAAAAAAAGAAAAAGAAAAGAAAAGAAAAAGGAAAAAGGGAAAAAAATTGGAAGTTATAGATCAACACAACATGTTAAAGAAAATATATTGTTGTATTGACATGTATGTAAACAACTAATGCTTCAGATTAATCATTAGGTAAGGGATTGATATAAGTTCGGTGATAAAATAAGATATGATTGAATGTTTAAGTTAATATTGACAAACATTTTGCCTATAAGAAGAAGAAGGTTAACTAAGTGGTCCTCTCCCCTCCAAAATGAGATTTAGCTAAAATTCCAACTACACTACACTACAAGAAGGTATATAGGCTGTGATTTTCTTCCCATCTTTTGAAATACACTTGCTTCTATTAGATGGACTTCTATAGTTCTATTCCTCATCTTCATCAAATAAAGGCACATCAACTTTAAAGTCTCGCTTGTCAGCCTTCAACTAGACACACTTGGAACTGGCTATTTTACCTCACCCTATCAAGGAATACCCACCCAATCCTACCTTGACTATTATCAGTTTCTTGATCTTTGTTATGGTAAGGTATACTATTTTTTGTTTTTTTTCCTAAAACATTAGCTAATATTATAAAAAATACAATTTTCACCTAGTACTTAATGACATTATATTAAATTTTATTTTTTTACTAATTTATAAAATTAATAAAAACTAAAACGGGGATACCTGCCCCACAATACCCCCTTCCGCTCCGAAAATAATCAAGGATGGGAACAGTAAAACCCACCATGCCTCACTCTACAGCGTCTCACAACATTTTGCTGTCTAAAAAACTGTACACAGGTGCTTGGTTTGTTCTACAGTTGGTTTCACAACCAATTTACTCGGGAAGTCCAGAAAGTATTGCGAATTATTTTTCCAGCTTTTTCCTCAAAAAGTTGTAGCCTAATTTACAAAAGATAATTTTGACCCCTTAATTCAATTGATATCTCATAATTAAGTTGCCAGCTACAGCTAATCTGCTAGTAACTGGCATTTTTAGATGCTATTCATTGAAATATATAATATTAAAATTAAACTTTCCTGTTTGAATTAAATGAATTTCTAATATCAATAACATTAGTAAATAACTAGGATTACTTTCAAGTTGATTCTTAAGGTTTAGGTTTTTACCTGTGCAATACGAGTCCCTCGCCTGCTTGGACCAAGCTGGAGAAGCCCAAGTAAATCATCTCTAAAACCAACAATCTCAAGAAGTCCATCATCCACATAAGATGGAATCAAGTCTCTCTATAACATATACCAAAAGACATCTTATCAGATTTGATTGCCTGAGCAAACTCAAGTTGCATTAAATTGTAACTGCTTATATCATCATTGGACAAAGTGAAAGCATAAGCACTGACATCACGTATTTTCCTTGTACTTGGTATTCCCCAAGGATTCATTCCACCAGAAAAGCTTGGCAAATTGAGGCATATAATTGACGTGATGCTGTTTGCAGAAAAGGAAGGGGTTAAAGACATCAGTTTCTGTTTTAAGCCATATTTGGCAGTGTTGAAAACCAAAACAAAGTGTAGGCTCTTTATTTTAATTAATGTTGGACTTCTGATATCAGAAAAGAGAATCCTTCAAAGAGCAACGACATTTCAATTTTTTTTGAGGTTGAGCAAGGGTATCAACTTGCAAAATTGACCTAGAATCAGTGAGCAAAGGCCATGAAATCTTTAAAAAGCCCTATATATCCTGTTCTCTCTCTTTTTTGACTAAGAAACAGAAAATCTCAAACCCATAGGCAATCAAATTCTAAATAAGAATCTGAGAAGCTGAAAACTTGTCAAAATGAACTTTTCCAGAATAAAAATCTCACTTTTATAATCTTGTAGTTTTTGAGAACAGAGAGTTTTATTTCTCTATACTATGTTG